AGTTATACGTTTTGATGTTGCTTCAACTTCAAAAAAAATTTTTTTTTTAAGTTTTCTAAAAGTTCTTTGGAGTTTTTGAGTAACTCTATGCATGATTTGTTGAAGCAAATTATGTATGTAGTTTCTCCTTTGACATAGATTATATTTTTTTTCGTGTCGAGTAAAAAAAGGAAATTGGAAGAGTATTTCTTGGTTCCAGCATTGAGTTTTGTAATTTTTTTTGAGTTGAGGAATACAGTAAATGCAGGGATTTTTGAAATACAGGCAAAAACAAAAAGAGATATGCAAGAAGATTTATTGGAACTGTCTTAAGGATGAATTCTTCTGATCGATTTATCCCAATTGAGTCTTCGTACTTAGACATGTCGTAAAATTCAAACAGATAACAATTTACAAACAAGTTTTAAAAGTTTTTATGATTTATATGTTTAACTCTATTTATTTTGAAATAAAAAATTGTTCTATGTTGTATTAATGACCAACACGTGTGCAAAATTACAATATTTACGACATAGGCCAAAGAAAGTCGACAAGTGAAATCGACATGATCGAGAGGGGAAGACTCAAGAAGACGGAATCGCCTGTTTCAAAGCGACAGGAATGCCGAATGGGACTCCATAAAAAGAACCACCGACAAAAATTTTAAAACATTTAAAAAATTGCCGACATCACAATTAGGCCTACATTCTCGAAAGCGGTCCCTAAACATGCCAGCCAAGAGCGCTGAACTGTGTTGACGACATTCCAGTAGTAGTGGAGGTTTCCAATGCTTTCAAACTTATTGAAATAGCAATGTTTATGCATTATAGATACAAAGGTTTCAAAATACATAGTACAATGTATAAAGTCACATCGCAAACTCAAAAAAAGCATAAATGATGTACGTAATGTACATTAGGCCTAAGGTCTCCAGAGGCGTGCAGACGACAACATTCGTATTATCTTTCTTATAGATAGTTTTCGATTGACCTAAATTTAGCAAAAGTTACCTCCCGTTGTCCGCCATACTGGAGGTCCAAATGCTCATATTCTTTCATTATTCAACCAATTTTAAATTTTTATATATGCGATTTTGGATTAGGAATCATTATTTTTCTGAAGTATATAAATTTTTGGAAGCCTCCTTTATTTAAAAAAATTTATTTAATAAAGATTTTCCACCAAATATTTATGCTATATTTTCTTAAACTTGGTAAGACAAAGAGGAAAACTCACCGAGTCCACCTCCAAAATGGCGACAAACGGGAGGTAACTTTAGGTCAATCGAAAACTATCTATTGGAACTTTAGCTCTTAGTATATGATAAATTATCTTTGATATTGTAAATGCAGAATCTCTATCCAAAATTTATAGAGATACCGTACGAAAATAATAAGATAACATCGATAATTTTTAGCTGTTAACATTCGGTGAAACTAGGTCGCTTCATTCTATGGCGGCCTATGCGGGTTAAAAAAATGGAATATCGTGGAACATGTAGAAATTATTTGAGTCTAAACTACAGGCCTGGTTTCATAAAAACAAAGTCAGATAGACAAAATAATGATTTTACATTTTTTTTTAGCAATGATATTACCAGTACATTATAATTTATTTTTTCTAAAATATTTTTTTACAGGTAAGTCTTGTTTTCACAAGAACCACTAATGAAGGCCTTTAGAAGAGAGCAGGGTTTAAGAACCACTAAAATCAGATGGAGAAAACCATGAAAATCAGATTGAGAAAGTGAGACCGGATTTTATACTAATCCCTGTGAAGCCACCATCAAACACCACAAACCAGGACCCAATCCGGAACCCACATAGCAAGAGAAAGAGGGGACATCCAACAGATTATCATGAAGTTTTATGTGTTAATTGATTACTTTTTGTTCTTAAAATTCTTTTCTTAACAAAATTGCAATTATTACCTGAAATTATCACACTTATTTTGAATATTTGGTGAATAAAACACATACTTTGACGCCTAAACGCCTTGATTTATTTTCATTAAATGCTGAAAAAGAAACGGGGTGGGGATATAAAAAATATCAAAACTTTCTTATATGTGCACTAACCCCCACTTTTCATGCTATGAAAAGGATCCATAATACCTTACAAAATTGTACAACAATTTTCTTAAAAAAGTTTAATTGTAGAAATATGTTTTTCTTTGGTTTTTCGAGCAATTTTATAGGGAAAAATGTGCCTAATTTTAACATGGGTGAACAACATTTTTGGGTACAAGTTATCTATATTGGTATTTATTTGCTCAAAATTTGCTTAAAAATCAACTTTGCAATACATTCAAGTAAATTGAAGCCGAATTAAGTTTTAATTCACTTTATTTATAAGTTTTATGAGGTATTTTATGGTCTAGTAACATTTTTAATGAAATTTCCAATGCTCTATTTTGGCCTATGTTCAAAGGGTTGAGCCTCTCTTAGATGAACACTAACTGTACTGTCCGTGTTCTAGACACTTATAACAGAAACACGTCTGCTCGCTTTAACGCTTTAATTCTAAACTACATAGCTAAATGATTACACAAATCGGCATGGCTGAAACTGTCAACATCAATTACTGAACTTGTATTTAACATATAATATCCTGCTGGTATCAGGGATAGCAAATTCCTAAACGTGGGAAGACATTAAATCTGAATGTCTATTTTAAGATATGAACATTACATCCCTCTTCACCTTAGACAGAAAAACAAATCTTTACATAATTTCTGAAATGACAGCCTGTAATGCCAATAACTAATCTTTATACAAATAGAGAATAAAGTTACAGTCAAATAACAAAAAGTCAATCATTTTTTTCTCAGGTGGTCACATAGTCTTTTAGATAGGCGGGTGGTTTACGTTCCCGGGTTGGTCTTCCGGTATCTGTGACAGAACGGTCTTTATCAGATTCGTCTCCTGTTTCGTCTGCGCTAATTTTAGGGTCATGCGATTCTGTTTCGTTTTCGTCGCTCGATATAAATTTCTTTATAGCCGTGCAGTTTCGCTTAATCAACGATCCATTTTCATCCTCGAGAGTCGCTGCATTTTTGCATTTCTCCCTCACGATGAACTTCTCAGGCGCGAACTCGGTTGATAACTTATCGCGCTTAGCCTGACGTTGTACAACAGTGTCACCGATCTCAATTTCACAAGGTACGGCACGGCGCTTCTCATCCGCTCTTATTTTAAAATCCTCTTTCCGTCTTTCGTCAGTTTCTCTTACTTCTTTGCGACCGATTCTTGCACTGATCTCTGGTAACTTGGTATGAATTTTCCGATTGTATAATAACTCTGCAGGGCTTTTTCCAATTGTAGAATGTGGGGTCGCACGTTACGCAAGTAAGAACTTGGGTAGTTCTTGTCTCCAATCCTTGCCTTCTGCGTTTGCAGCTTTAATGGCTTTGAGTAGTGTTCGGTTTTGCCTTTCTACCTCCCCATTTCCTTGTGGCCAGTATGGTGTAGTCCGAATGTGTTTGATACCATTTGAATTCAGGTATCCCTTAAACTCTTCTGACACAAACTGTGGTCCGTTGTCGCTTCGCATGCTGTAAGGTAAGCCGTGCCTCGCGAACATACTCTCAAGTTGAAGAATGATCTTCTCACTGGTTATCTTTTTCATAATGGCTACTTCTTGAAATCGGGAAAAATAGTCTATAACGACTAGTAGATATTCCCCAGAAGGAAACGGTCCCATAAGATCTATAGCCAGATCCTGCCATGGCCCGTCGGGTAATACCGTTGTTCGAACTGGTTCGGGCCTATTGTTGTTCGATAAAAGTTGGCATTGTTGACATGTTCTAACAAATCGCTCGGCTTCTGTATCTATGCCTGGCCACCATACCTTTTCTCTTAATCTTTGTTTCGTGCGGACAATGCCCTGGTGTCCTTCGTGGGCCAACTGTATTGTTTGTCTCCTCAGGCACTTAGGCAGTATGATGCGCGATCCACGTAATACTATTCCGTCGACGACTGAAAGTTCCGCTTCCACAGTACGAATTTTAGGATCCAATCGGCCATGTCCTGTTTCGATCCTCCTCATAATTCCGACGAGTTCTCGGTCCTCCGACGTTTTCTGACGAACTTCTTCAATAGTGAGTGCTTTCGGTACAGCATTATCTGCAATGAAATGCGCATACTCGTCTGCAATGTGGTGTATTCGGCAAGCCTGATTCTGATTCAATCTGGATAGAGCATCAGCAGCATTCTTTGGTCCAGGTATATAGACAATCTTATACTTATACGGTTGAAGTCGCAACATCCATCGCTCGATTCTAGCTGGTGGTTTCGACTTTGGAGAGAATATGTAGGTCAACGGCTTATGATCCGTCCAGATTTCGAACTCAAGCCCGTATATATACATGTGAAACTTTTCACAACCAAACACGACACCTAAAGCCTCGCGCTCAGTCTGCAAGTATCTTTGCTCAACGTCGGTTAGAGTTCGACTTGAATATGCAATTGGTTTAAACAATCCGTCCGGTTGTTTATGTGCTAGAATGGCCCCAAGTCCAACGGGACTCGCATCCACGATTATCCTTGTCTCGGCTTTTGGATTGTAGTATGCTAGTGCTTCGGCACTTACGAGCGCTCTTTTTAGCATGTCAAACGCATCCTGGTGTCTGTTCGTCCAACTCCAGTGCGTGTTCTTCCTTGAAAGCTCTCGTAACGGGGCAGCTATCGTTGAAAAATTTGGTATAAAACGGCCGCAGTAGTTTGCTAGCCCCAGGAAGCTCCTTATTTCGGAACTGTTGCTCGGCGTCCTGGTCTCCGATACTGCTTTGATCTTTTCCTGGCCAGGTTTAACCCCCTCTGATGAAATCACATGTCCGAGGAATACAATTCTTGAGAGACCGAATTCGCATTTTTCTCTGTTAAGGGTAAGCCCTTTCTCAGCTAGTCTGTCGAGCACCTTCGTAAGTTTCTTGTTATGGTCTGCCTGGTCCGTCCCGTAAACTATGATGTCATCAGACAAATTCCTTACTCCTTTGATACCTTGAATGACTTGTCCAATTACTCTTTGGTAGATCTCAGATGCTGAGGAAATTCCGAACATGAGGCGCTTATAGCGGTAAAGGCCCTCATGTGTCACAAACGTGGTTATCTCTCTTGATTCCTTGTCTAACTCTATTTGGTGGTATCCCCAACGTAAATCAAGTTTTGAGAACACTGTGCTGCCGTTCATATCCTCTAGCATTTCATCCACAGTCGGGATCGGGTATCGCTCGCGTTGAACAGCAGTGTTGACCCGTCTCATATCGACACATATTCGAATTTCCTTTTTCTTAGGCACAATGACAAGTGGCGACACCCAGGCCGTGGGGCTGTTTACCTTCTCAATTGTGTCCATCTTTTCTAGTTCCTCGAGCTTTTTGTTAACGCTTTTCCTCACATTAAATGGTAAGCGTCGTAACGGTTGTGCTACAGGGGTCACGGTCTTGTCGACATGAATTTTTAGTTGAAAATTTCCGAGTTTCCCTACTCCGTCGAAAACAGAATTTCTTGAGGCAACAATCCTATCAAGTTCACTTCTAACGGAGCATAGGTCCGGCTCATCGGTTCCTATGCGTAGAACTCCTAGTTCTATCGCTGTGTCTTTTCCTAGTAAGGAAATATAATCGCCCTCAACGACTGCAAACTCTGCATATGTTTCACGGAGTCCATGCTTGGTGACAGCCCGAAATGTTCCTAGTATTTGTAATGGTTCCTTTGATCCGTAAGAAAACAATCTTTTTGTGCTTCTCGATAGAGACATTGTTTCATCGTTTGCTTTAACGGCGCTCCATACATTGTGGTTAACGATGTTACAGCTCGCGCCAGAGTCAATTAGCATCTTTATCTTAGCTCCGCCCACGCTAACGTCTAACATGCCATTTGTATCGTTTTTGCAGACAGCAAATGCGGACTCGTCATCTGAGGACTTCCTCTGCACTAAATGAACATGCTTTGTACTGCAGTCCTTGCCTGGTCTAATGCCTGGGTATCCGATTAAGTCTTGCACACTTTTGCGAAATGATCTTTTTCTCGCACTTATTACATGTTTTGTCCTTAGTAATTGTACAGTTCCTTGCAATGTGGCCCTTCCGCCCGCACCGAAAACACGTGGCATCTTTCTGCGAACTCTTCTCAGACACGTATTGTTTCCTGTAACTTACCGACGGCCTAACAGTGTTTACATCGGAGCTTGAAAATGTTTCACTTCCCTTGAATCTGTCCGCTTGCTCGTTTACGATTTCGCCAGCTCGGGCTATGTCCATTGCGTTTTTTAAAGTTAATTCCTTTTCCTTTAGGAGTCTTTTTCTTAATTTTGACGATCTACACTTTTCAACGATTTGATCGCGAATGTTGTCGTCTGGCTTCTCAAATTCACACGTTACGGCCAGTTTGCGCAGCCTAGTCACAAAACTGTCAATTTTTTCTGTTTCACCTTGTGCTGCATTCCTGAACAAATGGCGCTCAAATGCTATGTTCCGTTTTGGTTGGAAGTACTCATCTAACTTCTTTTTGGCACCGTCCAAGTCATCTCCAGACTCCCCAAGGGTATCAAATATTTCTTGGACTTCACTTCCCGCGGAATGTAGAAAACAAAGCCCTTTTTGTGCTTTATCCGTAATCCCTGTCGCCGTTATGTAAAATTCAAAAGTTTTCTTCCACTTATCCCACCTTTGGGAAACGCTTGTCTGGTCACCATTTACATCAAAGGGATTAAGTGCAGGTAACTGCAATGCCTTTGCCATTATTGTTTTTCCTCGTCGCCAATGTACTGTCCGTGTTCTAGACACTTATAACAGAAACACGTCTGCTCGCTTTAACGCTTTAATTCTAAACTACATAACTAAATGATTACACAAATCGGCGTGGCTGAAACTGTCAACATCAATTACTGAACTTGTATTTAACATATAATATTCTGCTGGTATAGCAAATTCCTAAACGTGGGAAGACATTAAATCTGAATGTCTATTTTAAGATATGAACATTACACTAACATACACTTTTCTTGTCTTTAAATTATTTCTTGGATATTACACTTTCAGAAAAATATAAGCATTTAGAAAGTTTAATGCACGTTTTTTTCCCGCGTATCATAAGAATACATCCTTAATTGAAGAAATATATGTCCATGGTACATGGTACATGTAAATCATTATTTGCCTTTTTGTTAAATACTTGGTACCTCAGACATTTACAATATCTGTAGACCACTCTTAGTTGAATGAGGGAGGATGTGGCTTATTGATTTTAATGGCGGCAGTGCAACTGTGGGTGTGTATGTTTGAAAAACATTAGCAAAGGCAAACTCAATGATGTCACGTGTAAACGATTGGAAACGGTTTGTGAGGGCTTTGCTCTACTTCCTCTTTGTACTATAGATATACAGATAATTCAGAAGACTGTGGTTATAAGCTGCATCACAAACCAAAAGAGATAGGACTCTGCAATGCAGCGCATTTTGATATTCATTATTTCTTGGTGTTGGATAAATTATTTAAAGTAAGTAATAATTTATGTTTGAAATTTGAATTAAGTTTTTGTAAGTGTGTTAACGATATAGTATATACATAGTATTTTCAAAAATATTAGGTATAATTTATATAGTAATATTTTATAAGGAACAAGAGAGAAGACTGATTAATTTGTAAATGTGTAAGTGTATGTGTGTGTTTGAGAGAGAGAGAGGGGGGAGAGAGAGAGATCTTTATTTTTTTTAGAATAAATACAAGTTATTTTATTGACAAAGAATTAGTAAATACTAAATTCAATAAGAGTATTGTTATACAGTGAAACATATCTTATTCGACATACACTTGAAGACGAATTTTGTGTTGAATTGCAGTGTAAAAAAAAAATTGAAAATTGTAAAAAAAAAAAAAAAAAAAAAAAAAAAAATGGAACGAAATCAAAGGTGGGAATTCACAGTGTGATGGATTACAGGGTGTCGGATTACACAGTTTTTATTATACAGGTTTTTTTTTATTTTAATTGTATCTGTCTTATTTTGTTCATTTCTATTTTAAATATCCGCAATCACCTAAATTTAACATGACTCAGTTCCAGCAATTTAAGCTTTCGACCGCAAGAACTCTGTATCGGCATGCACTCCTTTGATATACATGTATATACTAGACCATGTAGGCAAGTCTGGGTTTTCAGAGTTTGCATCGTTCGCTGAATTCCTTGATTTTAGGCATAGCGGATTTAAAAGATATAGATGAAATATAATTCTTAAACATTTATTCTGAACTTCTCTTCTTTTAGTTTGAAATATTTATGGCTCATGAATCTTGCAAATCGGCAATTCCTTCATACGTCGTCTTGAAGAATTTATTTAATTTTATTTGTTCAACAGTAGGAAAACCTATCGAGAGATATGCTGCTGTCATGTTCTAAATTTTGAATTTACCGGGTGGGAGTAAATAAAAAATTATTTACTCCCACCCGGTAAATTCAAAATTTAGAACATGAAACTGGGTAGTTCCAGCAAACAAATATTTTCTTTTGTCTCCTTTATCGTTTAGCGTCTATAGTGTTAAACTTGCCATCAGAAAAGTTACTAGTTAGTGTATTGGAGTAAGATGCAAAGTTCAGACCTCCAAGCGATGTTTATATTATTTTAAGGTTAAATAAACGATGCTGTTTATGGTTACCATATTTTAAAAAATTGTCTATAAAGCTGGCAGCTGGTTGGTTACTCTATATAGGGAAATTTTCTCCCCCGTTTATTTTCGCCCCTTTTGCCCTAGTCTAGCGTGAGCGAATTTAAAACGGGGCAAATTCAAAGTAAACTGTATAATATCTTAAACAAAAATCTTTTTGGGCGAATTTAAAACGGGACAAACTTGTTTTCAGATGTGAAAGGGCGAAAATAACAAGGATTGAAAAATAACTCTGTATACAGTATGTTTCACAAGAATTGTTGCATGTAAACGTCATCACACCTCCTAACCTCATTTATTTAGCATAAATCGGAAGAATTCGGAGATAAGCGTAATAAAATATGAACAAAATCCGTTAACGTTCGAACAGCTTTCCTCGCGAGAATTCAGCGAGACCAACATGCTAGAGGTGAAAATCGAGAGAGAAATTCAACATGAAAAAAGAGGTAAAACTTTATGTTATCTCGATTTATAATATATTTGTAAATTGAAAAAAGTTGAAAAACAAACGTTTCTTTAACTGAAAAGTGAAAGTAGGTTTGCAGTTTCTTATTCTGTCAAGTGCTAATTTGCACTAGCTTTAAAGTGTCAAAACAGCACCTCTCGATTTTGTAAACATGTTTCCACGTGGAAGGGAGTAGCTGTGTCGGTCAAGATTAACCCACATACATTGATTTAGTAAACAAAAACACTCGTAAATAGAATTTCATTTATTTTTTCGATTACCTGTTGCAGAAAATGGCAAAATAGTTTAGGGCTTGTTTGTCAAATGCTGTTAATAGCATGTCTTAAATTGAAGAGAAAATGCAGGTGTGCTATAGTTCGTTCCTACTTGTAAGGTAGTCTACTATGCATGCATATGCACAGTTACGCGTATATAAGTCATTATTCTTACTTATCAATACCCAGCGATTTGTGAAAACCATGTGTTTTTTTTAAATACCAAGAGACTAAAATTTAATTCTATCCGTGCTCGTGTGTGTGCACAAGTAGTTCTTCCGAATTTCCTCTACACATATACATGTGTACCTGGATGAAGGTTTGTTTACATTTGTTTGCAGTTTTAATTGAATCAGCTGTTTATATCAATCATGCAGTTTTCACTAGAGCCTACTGATCAAAATATGATTGTTACTTTTCTAATTTTAATATCACTGAATTTATGATCAGATGATGTCAATGCAGTTCTCACATACTTGTGTATTTATCAGGTATGAAACTTCACATATGCAGTTTTCGCCCGCGTGGTTCAGTGATTAGAGCGTCTGCTCTAGAGTCGGGAAGTAAGGAGTCCATGATCTTACTTTGCTGGTGTAAATCCCACTGTGGGACGTGCAGACTGGTCCTTCAGATTAGACCGTATAAACCGAGGCCCTGTATCGCTGTAGGTGCTGGCACAAAAAAGATCCCTCTCTGCTCAAAGGCCCTAAGTGCCCAGCAAAGGAAAAAAATTGTAGCCCTCCACCGGCAAGTGGTGGCATCTCCATATGAGTGAAAAATTCTCGAGAGGGACATTATAAATAACGTACAGTCAATCAATCACATCTGCAGTTTATGTAAATTTTTGAATATTTCTATGTGTACAACTATTTTCCCTTTTAAAGTATTGCCCCAACTAAAAATAAATGAAATATAGTATAAATATTATAAAACTAGAGGTACGGTGAGCAATGAACTCCGACACTAAATGATACCCACCACTTCTCATATGATAATGAATGTGTCCATGTTTTGCGATGGGAAACCCCAAATATGTGACGGATCTAAAAGTAAAATAGAAGCTGCACAATGGCAATATGTAATCATACTGGTACAGATTCTGTGAGAGTCATCAAATATCACTCAGTGGTATGAGAGGAATTAGCAGATAAGAGATGTGTACACCAAAGCATAACAGACAGACGGAGATACCGATTACTTAATACACCCTCCCGCTTTTCAAGCTGGGGGTATAATAAATTACATGCATGCATCAATCTGTGTAATGAAAAGATATTGTTTAAGATAATTTACATTGATGTTTTGCATTTTTGTTTGTAAGAATACATGTATTTAATTTACATATTGATTAATTATTTCAATGTGTTAATGAAAAGTTATTTTCTTTTTTGTTTTTTTATTAGGGCCCCGCAAGGATTTGCGGGTGCCCTATAGTAGTCACTCTGTCTGTCCGTCTGTCCGTCTGTCATTCTTCTGTCCACAAATTTTCTGTTTTTTCCTAATAACTTTTTTTATGGTAGTCCAATTAAGTTCAAATTTGGTATGGTAGTTCAGTAGGCAGAAAGACATATTTTGATGCCAAGTTTGTTTTTCTATGTCCTCTGGTTTGGAGCTGGGGTTGTGGGGTAGATGCCTTAACTTTATATAAGAATGAATTGGCAAAGAGAGATAACTTCTTTAAATGTTCCCATTGTAAACTGAATGCTGCAATGAGTCCCTTGGGATCAATTAGCTCTCCTCCTGAAGAAAACCCAAAGCATTATCTTAATCTGTCACATTGAGATTAATTACCACCTCTGTCTGCATATGAAGTTTGTTTTGAAGTTAAGAACACTCTGAAATGTGGATTTAAGTATAAATGTTTATACTTTATATTTGTTGGAATACCCCATACAAAGAGCTCTGATTTCATTGAATTAAAAAAACAAGAAATATATTAAAGTAGATTTATTTTTTTTTTTTTTATTTATTTTTTTTAATGTTAATCTAAGAATATTATTAATTTTCAATGTAGTAGGATAAAAACCTCATTCCATCATTACTGAAAAAGTTCTTATTGTGAATTTAGAAGAAAATGATGAGAGAGAATAATAATCCCTTGGGATTAATTATCTAGCCTGCTGCAGAAAATTTAGTAGGCTTTTCTTTATCTTTAAGATTAATGAAAACCTTTGTCTGCAACTGCTGTTTGTTTTGAAGTTAAGGTCAAGCCTTCATGATATGTATTTGTATTCATTGAAGGCTGGCATATTTTTATATATAACACAATTAAGCTTCATTTATATTGTTTAAATATACATTCAATGCTGAGTTGTTCTTTACACAGTTTACTGCCTTATATATGTAAATACAAGGATATTATTTACAGGTTTTTGCATATTTGGGAATAATCTTGAAATTTTAAGAATACAGTTGATGTTTCTTTTTGTTAATATATTTTTGAATAATTTTATAAACTGCACCCTCATAATTCTACCCCATGACGGGACCCTTGCTGACTGGTCAGTTTTCTAGTTACAGGTTAGAGTACATTTTGAACAGCCATCTCCAGGTATGACAAAAATAACACAATTGACCCTATAAGGTAATAAACAAACATTATTGAATTTAGAAAATGTATATAATGTATCACAAATGTGAAATCATTGTAGGGCTAGATATAGTTTTCTTTCACCATGTTCACTGCTCACTCAGACTTTTTACTGGTCAGCTCATCATAATATCACAATCCCACTAGGCTACTAGATTTGAATAAAAAGAGACTGACCAAAAACCATAATAATTATAATCATAATTAATGTAATAGTTATATTTTATTTATTTAATGTGATACACAGTTGGACAAATAATTAATCTAAATAAAACAGGATTCTGAAATGACAGAACTCTGAAACAAGCTTGTCAAGTAACTAGCCCAACTATAATTGTATTTTTTCTTATACATAGACCTGACCCAAAAGACAGATGCCCCCTACCATGTACTAGCCTAGATATAAAAAAAAACAGTCATGTGGGCCTTCAATTATTTTTTGGCCTTGCATTGTAAAGTCAGCTATCAAGACATTCCATCCTTTTTGTTGTTTGTTTTTTTTAATGATATGCACCATCCCAAACAAA